GGTATATTTCTGTAAAAATTCTGGAATCCAATCATCATTATTATTATTACTGAAAGAATATGTTTTGTTAAATTTTTTATTAATTTCCAGATTCGAGACAAGGGGGTACAACGATTAAAAGAATTACACAAATCAATCCAACTATTGTTTCTCTCAGTTTTCAAGGTAAGTTTTTTTAAAGCTTGTAATCTTTTGAACTCTATATATGTTTCAGCAGAAGGATTATTTTTAAAATTAACATATGACATTTTGGATTTATGAACTGCTTCTAAACATTTTTTGTTCCACCAGGGCAAAGCTCGTAATTTCCTAGTATTGTTACTATTTTTGATAGATGCAGGATTGCTAAGTGGAAGCGACCTTACTATAGCTAAATTAATGATGTTACAAAATGCAGAGTAAGCTTCAATTGGTGTATAATTCTCTAATTTGCAGTCTGTTAAAAGGGACTCTACATTTTGGGTATACATTTTCCAATCAACCATCTTAAAATTAGGGTGGATGGGCAAATGTATACTGTTATTATGTGAATCAGAAATTTTGTTGCCTTTTTTAGTAACAAGAACTTTGATGATTACAGGGAGATGATAACTGCCAAGAGGATCGTCGTGTACAGACCAATCACATGAAAGAGCTAACGACGGAGAAACTATAGATAGATCCAGAGCATTCGGACGCCAAGACATAGAACCAACTGTTGTAACCTGATCATCATTCAACAAAACAAGATTGTTATTGTCAATCACTTCTAAGACCTCTCTGCCACGAATCGAGTCCGAACCGTATCCCCATGAAGTGTGGTGAGCGTTAAAATCGCCACCAAAAATCATAGGCTGTGGAATAGATTGAATTAAAGTTTCAAACTTATTTTTATCGAACCTAGGAGTACATTGGAGTGGAGAATAAAAACTTACTAAACTAAGTTCTCTATTATTTACAGTTAAACGTATGCATATATTTTGTAAAGAATTGTAAAGAAGGATAAAAATAGCAACACCATTATGTTTGTTACCAGAATCATTACGTTCAATGTTGTAGTATTTCATATTAAATGATTGTTCAGCCCTTAGCCATGTTTCTGATATTAAAGCTACATGAATATTTTGTTCAAATAAAAATTGTGATAGGGCAAAGCCTATTGCAACCTAGGCTCTGGGCATTCCAATGAACTATATTTAAGGTATTAACCATTATTGAGTTAAGGTAGCTTTTTTGCTTAAAGTTTTCTCGAATAAAACTGGAATTAATAGGCACATTTTGGTCCTTATTAGTAATAATAATATTTGTGACAATTTCAGTTATCATAGTCATAAATTTGTCTGATTTCACTAAGTTTTGAAGTTGGATATCTATGTTTTTTGCGTGTAATTGTTGAAATGCTTGCTCCCTTAAAACATCTGAATATTTTACAGTGAGCCTTAATTTTATTTTCTTCGATTTTTTGCTTTTTAATGGGGCAATTATTTGAAATCTTTTAAGGTCTTTGAAGATATATTTTTTTCCTCTAATATCATCATCTTCTGTATCGGACGAAGACGACAATGAAGACGATGAAACGTTTTTATAATCAGGAGGATTTTCCGGTTTACGACGTTTTTTCGCCTTCCCCAAATTTATAATATGTACAACTCTCTATTTGTACAAATAGGCTAGTATTTACACAGATATTACAAAAATATACAAAATAAAAATTCGCAAAAAAGAAAAGGCGCATTCAAGGTTTCCGCGCGACCTTTATTAAAGCTCAAGAAATGAGAAAAACATGTAAGTTGCTATTTTTTTAAATTTCTGGTATTTTCCTTATTTCTTTGATTTTTTAAAAAGCTTAGTAAATGATTTTTACTTTCTGTGTTTCTTTTTGGCAGTTCTTATCAGCAGAAGGGGCAAAGTGTTATGTTATCAGTAAATTACTATAAAGTACTCGATACCTACAGGCATCGATATTTTATGTATCTTCTATCACTACTTTGACATGACAGTTGATGACGTCACAGGCCAGTAAACAGAATCGTGATTGGTGGTGATGACGACCAATTATAGGACGTTTTCGTCGTTGAATAAATTCTTTAAAATATTGCATTTTCTTTACGTTATTTTACTAAATCTAAACATGTTTTTTCTGCAGATGTTAAGAAATAAGCTTTATTTGATTATTATCTATCAGGATGACCACAAAATGCAACTTTTTTTCGATAGTGTCAAATACCCTATCGAAGATTGCTATAGACAGATGAGTTTTGGTCTCAGATGAAATAGGTATCTAGAAGATGGAGTATTATACGTATACATTTAACCAAAACTCACTAACGTACAGTTTGACCATAAAGAGTTGAAAAATATTTAGGGCGCCTCTATCTCCTACATGGCAATATTTTTACTACGATCTAAACAAATTTGAATCTTACAATTTTTTTTTAAGTAATACCTTTATGTCACTATAAGGAAATTAATAATTAAATAAAGATTAGCAATCCATTAATCGTCAGTACCGATACTTAGAACATTTCTAACTACATATTTATGACACACATACTTTTTGATGAAGCTCTCAATTTATGAATAGATAATGAGACAGTATTAAAAAAACCAAAACCACTAAAAAAGCGTTCCGTTCCTTTCCTTTTAATTAACACATTAAAAAACTGAAATTTGAAAATTTCGAAACTTGGATATCAATACAAATACGAAAAAGCACAAATAGAATATGAGTTGTTTATTAAGTTTTGAAAACTAACTTACTTTTAAACATGAAAGAAAATAGGAAGAGTTGTCATGGAGAAATCAAGAACGTACCGTAGCGGCATCTAGTTTGATTTCGGGAACTAATTTTTTTTTAAAATACTTCCTTATTATTTCTGCATTTTGACAACCGTAACAGTGAAAAGGCAAAATGAAACATTATACATATGAAGTACTCATTATGTAAAAAACTTTATTTCAAATTATTATTTTTATTATAGAAAAACAAAGAAACATTTTTTTATGAATGGCACAAATGGTAAAGTCATATAATTCCATTTTTGGGCATCTTTTTCTTTGTTTACCGGGCGTCTCAAACATTTAATCATATTTATTATCTTCTTCAATATATTATGCGCTGCACTGTAGTTACAGACTTTCCTGAAATAAAAAGTAAATATCATATAATGAAAATTATTTATTATACAAGTTTGACGCGACAATCAAAATTATGCAGTCACCCTATGGTTGTTCTTCGATAAATATTATTCTTATCAAGATTTTTTATTTTTCTTAAAACCTCAATGTAAGGCGTTTTTATTCATTTTTATGTAATAGTACTTATTAATTCTATGATTATAATATTAACTGTAATATTTTTAAATTTAGTATTATTCAGGTTGAGGAAAATGACGTCGAGAATGATATCTGCGTATGTATAACATAATGACGAGGTGTTGGAGTAAATGATATAAAAGGATTTAATTTGGGTACTTCACAATAAACACTTACATAATCTTAAAATATTCTTTATTTATAAAACATTGGTATAAAAACAAAAAAAAAAATAACAAAATATACCTAGATGAGATACTTAACCGTGTTGCACTTAGCCAGGTAACTGTGCCAAGCGCATCTTTGACGCTAGAGTAACTATTTGGTTCTGAACTTAATCATTATACTGTCAGTTGCACAAACCTCCATTAAGGTTTAATGGTGCCTTTAAGTTCTAATGAATGTCCAAAATGTATGGGTAAAGTGCTTAAAACTAATGACAGTTTTAATGGACGTTTGTGCAACTGGTAGTTAGTGTTTTGGTTTATAATTAGGTAATTCTTTGGTAATAATTTATAATGACTGTCATTAATTTGCCTATTCTACGTTCTGGTCGATCCCATAGGTTATTTACTAAATCAAGTCAACAATGTATGACAACTATTGACTTAATGAACTATTTAAGTTTCAACATTATTTTAGGAATAATATATATTTTTTTAATAATTATGAACGTTTACCACTTTTATCTTGTTAAGGCTCTTATAATAATTTTAAATTAGGCCATTTTAAAGTGCACGTAATCACGTGAAACACTTTTTATTGTTGAATGTGATGATAAATGGTCTAATTAAACGTTATTAACCTCGAAGGGCGGCCCCACATTTGAAATAATCGACATCAAGTATTCAACTAACTCCCAGTTTCGGAAAGGGCTTTTGGTTTTGTTTCGTTCGAAAGGCACAAGCGCTTACTGCTGAAGATCCAGCATCCAGCACTCACTTCTGACGTTTGAAAGAAATTAGTAGTGAGATGCTTTTTGTCCCACCAGCCGCAAGCGCTTTGTCCTCTGAACACTGAATTTCTTGTTGATTAATCAAAATGACAATAAATGAATATTTTCACACTTTTATTATACTTAGTAAAAGTGTGTGAAAATATTTTATTACGAAACCGAATTTTATGAGACTAGGTCGAAAATACTAGTATACAAAGTTTCTTTTTTCGTAATATACCTATTCATAACCCCTAAAACAACAATATTAAAATGTCATTTGACAAATGAGTTTTGCTACACCAGAGTTATACTAGGGTGAACTAGGGTGACGGGCGGAATATCGGTGGAATAAGTTTTGTTAGAACGTTACATCGGTTATGCTAAGCATAAGTTACATGGAGTTTATAAGTTGACATTTTGCGTATTCTGGGTTACTGAACTTACTTTGGACATAAGAAGGTCGTGCTTGTCTTGAGGATGCTGCTGGTGTCGATCGGCTCTACGTCTTGGGAGCCTAATAACTCTTTCTGTAAAATAAAAATATATTATTAAGTTGGACTGTATAGCTAATATCTATGACTTTACATTTATGTTTACTTAGACATGTAAGTTCTACCTGTTGCTTCAGGAGGAGGCTCTATTTCTGTGGTTGGTTGCAGACAAGGTGGTTGTGGTAGAGGTGGTGAGTTATTTAATTGCATCACCACAATATCATCTTCACCAATTACGTCTTGGCAAATGTTGATACTGTGAAGAAATAAATAAATATTTTAGAAATTAAATTATAATTTCAAGTCAGTGTAATACTAAATATTTTACAAACATTAGCTATGTTATAACAATGATAAACTTACTCAAATGATGATGAATCATGTGCTTCATCAATGTTATGCACCACCTCAACTCCAATCCAATCCAACATGCTCCAATGGAGTAAGAGTTGGTGCATTACTTGGGCCACCACCCGTAGCACTATGACTGCTATTAGTTTGCACCAGTTTAGCTCTTACTCTGCATTTTTGGTCATTCCATACCTGAAAACAATAAATTTTGTTGATATTTATTTCAGTAATAATATGTTTCATTACTGTAAACACATAACTAACTAATCACACTCATTTAAATAAGGAAAATAATTGTGTCATGATATATTTACTAGAGAACACTAACATGTACATTTTGATTTTATTTTACATTGATTTGATGAAACCAACTCTAATTTTAATTTAATTCGAGCTTACCTTCGCCCATTCTTTGCCAATCCTTGCGGGTCTCAAAGGATTGAGCAATTCGGCGCATTCACGCCACAGCCGATCCACCAAGGCTCGAGCCTCCTTGGATCTCACCCGTCCAAGGGCGAGGTCACGATGTCTTTCTACAAACTCGAGAAGAGCTTCGAGTTGACGGACCGTTGTGGATTTGCGATTGCTTGCCATTTCTACACCAAAAATTAGTTTAATACAACTTACATACAAGTTTCTTTTCTAGATTAAATTATTGAGTTTGAACAAAGAAAGTACTCACTCAGTTTACACACAACACAAATGAGGATGAAGTCATCCAAAAAGCTACGTTTCAGTCACGACCACTTAAAATAACTTTGTTAAGTACTTTTTTTATAATACACTTGAGTCAAATTCTTGATATTCCCGCTATAAACCTAGATCTGTCAAATTTAGTGCTGCGACGCTATAAACGGTCAATCGATTGTTGATTATACTTAAATAACAGGTATAAAATAATAGTACTCGGGTATATCTCTAACGTTCCAATAACGTTCAATGTTTCAGTTAACGTTTCAACTTTAGCGCGATACCAAAACAACGGGCAACTGAACTTTTACTGGAATTGAACCGAAACTGAACCCCACACGTTCTTTATGAAATTGATTTATCGAAATCGGCATCCCACTTGTCTTTGCGCAATATATATCGTTGTGTGTAATGTGTTTTTGTTTATATAATTAGACCAATATGGACAATAAAATTCGTAAACACTGCAGTACAAGGTTAAAATATATTTTTAGTGATTCGGAATCGGACAGTGAGAAAGAATAACAACAGGTTAAAGTTGGTAAGAAATCTGTTTCGGAAGCAAATTTACGGCTTTCATTGAGTGCCATGCATGCTGCAAAGATAGTAAAAAAAATCTGACTAATTGTTCAACGTGTAAGAAAGCTATTTGCTTGCATTATTTTTAACGAACAGCATGCGAAGTGATTACAAGAAGGTTCAGAGATAAGAGAAAGAGAATAAATTTGGATGAACGATATATATTTGTATTTTATTTAACAATACCCCATTATTTTTTTGCACAATACTAAAACAGTATTAAAAAGTAATAGAAGTATAACATTGACATGGACATTCATCGATATTGCAAATAAATTCATTCCCATCACTAATACCGCCCCGATTCGGTGCGTTTTGAGGTCTAAAACTACCTCAAATGTATGTAAGGTGTTTTCTCTAAAAATAAAATTCAGAACCCGGGGCGAAGCTAGGTATAGTTAAAACAAAACCATATAAGTAACTTTTGCATAAAACTAGACTTCGAATAATGTTCCTGATCAAGTTACAACACATTTACCAAACTATTAAAACATGAGGCAGAAAAGGCCTCAACTGCACTACAAGGAAGTTCAGGTTGGGGCTGATTCGACCTCAACTGCACCAGCTGAAATTTCCTTAAATCGCGATGAACTTGTTAAAAGTAAATTAGTTTTCAAAACTCAATAAACAACTCATATTCTATTTGTACTTTTTCGTATTTTTATTGATATCTAAGTTTCGAACTTTTCAAATTTCAATTTTTTAATATGTTAGTTAAAAGGAACGGAAATGACTGGCTTTGATCCATTCGTTTCCTGGAAAACTCAACTTTTGCTAGAGTCGCCATCTAGTGGTGATGCTTTTTTAGTGCTATCGTTTTTTTTTAAATATTTCCTCATTGATGACCCAAAAAATATTGTATAATGTAAAACCACACATTATATAAATAAATCAAAAAGAGGGGTCCAAGGTGAGAACCCAGAGGCACTCAAGATGTTAAGGGCACAAAAGTTAAGCATAAACCTTTAATGGTAACGGCCTGACTCATATTTGAGAGAAGGATCTCTCAGATACGACTCAAGCCACCGCAAAAGGTCATCGTGTATACAGATTTCACCAATTTTCCTAAGAAGTATTGAGTATGGAATTTTGTGAAATGCTTTAGAGTAATCAGCGTACACGACACCAATCTGTTTGCCTTTATCCATAGCGAATACCACACGGTAAACAAGCTCACAGAGATTAGTATTAGTAGACTTCCCTCTAATGAAGCTGTGCTCATCATCATCATCATCAGCCTTTTTGCGTTCCTACTGCAGGGGCTCAGGCCTTCCTTATGGATGGTTAAGGAGGACGGGCCATGACCCTCCATGCTAGCCCAATGCGGATTGGAGCGTATTAACGACTGCAAATGCAGATGGGACCAACGGCTTAACGTGCCTTCTAAAGCACGGAGTAGCTCGAGATAATCATTTTTTGGTCACCCATCCCGTGACCGACCCTTGCGAAAGTTGCTTAACGACAACGATCATGGGCCGCGGCGCTTATCCACTACGCCACCGAGCTACTCGGGGTGCTGATTAATAATTTTGGGATGCCATAGGTCTTGAATTTTGAACCAATTTCTATGAAATTGACTATTTCCCCGCGACTTCGACTGAGTAAATTATAGCCTATGTCTACCGCGTAATATACATCCTGTAGATGAAAAACTTTTATAAATCGATCCAATTTTTAGGAGTCTATCCAATGCAAACAAACAAGCAAACAAATCTTTCCTCTTTTTATTATGAGCTTAAAATATTGGAATAAATTATGTCGAGCAAATAAACAAAATCTCTCTGTTGAATATTTTTATTTATCGAGTTTCACTATGTTTAATATTTTTATTTATAAAGATATTTGATATTTTTAGTTTGATCAATTATATAAAAATAAACATAACATGAAATACCTATTATTTTTTTCAAAAAATAGTATCAGCTTCAAATTAAAGAAGCGACTTCTTCAAGCACCTATCAAGGTATTAGTTAATAACCTACAGAAAATTTCTACCCGACTTCGATAGCATTAAGAAAATGCTAATAAGTCGCTTTTAATAGAAGTATTATTTGTCACATTTAAAAAATTTGAAGTCGAAATATTTACAAATTTTAAAAAGAAATATCTTTAAAATTCACACAATGAGCTTTTTCGTTTGATATGTAACACTATAAAGTTTGTAATATTTTAGACTTTATTTTGATTTTATCCCTCATAAATGGATCCATATTTTTAAATTTAGCTAGCTACGAGTATATTATAAGAAGCAGGGTAAGGACGGTAGGACAGGCATTTCTCCCACAGATAATATAAAAGGAAAACTACCTACTGATTCAATTTTGATAAAATTGAAATGAGACCACCTCAGTTCATTAAACTGCTTAATAAAAATTTGAAAATCGGTCAACAATTGGAGAAAATATTGGTGAACATAAAGAACATGCAAAGCCATCGAACATATAACCTCCTACTTTTCGATTTTGAAGTCGTTTGAAAACTACAACCAAAACCATTGATTTTTATCGTAGATAATAAAACAAGAACATTATAAATGTATTCTTAGAACGTTTTAATAGCTTTGGCTAGCGATGTTAAGGCGATCATTGGTTACATTTTACTACTTTTACATGTTCTTTAATAACGAATTAAAATTATTTTTTTATAGAAGCGTTACCAAGTTAGTCGTTAATCCACGTTCAAAAGACGTCCTGTTAAAGGTAAATAAAAAAGAGAGCTTTTCATTTTAAAATATATTTTTATTTTCGAGTGGAAAATCGAAATCTTATCTTTGAGTCACTTCATTTTATTAAATTACTTAAAAATAGGACATATTTTATTTGAGATATAAAACTGGATGTGATTTTACCCACAAAATACAAATATTACAACGCCTTTATATAACGTTGAAATATTTTTAGACACAAACGATATGCAAACATATAAGTAATTCAATTGACACTACTAAGACTTGACAAAAAAAACTAACAAAAAATTATAATTCAATGTGTTGACAAAATATACAAATAAATAGGTAAACCTAACAAAAGACAATAAATAAAACGCAAGACAACCAAAAAATGATTGAAGGTGATTTAAATCTGATTGATGAACATAAAATATCACTGGATTATAAATATTAATTATTTCTACATGGATGTTTAAATAAAAAGAAAAACACTAAATTATTATTGTCAACATCTGACAGAATAAACTGCTAGACCTTAAAATTAATTGGACAAATTTAAAAGTTAATCAGTAAAAGATTCACCAAGACCATTTCGGTGCGACTGGTTCAAAGGCCCAACTATCAGGAAGTCCTTGATGTTTTTTGTCTTTGAATTCGCTTTCAGACCATTTGAAAGGTTTTATAACATCTCTATTGAGATATTCCAAATCCTCTTGTTGAGCTTCTTCAATCTGCTGTTTTACAAGATCTCTGATTTCGAGGCCGTCGATAGTTGGTTTATTATCAAACTGGTGCGTGTATATTGGTGCTATATTTCCTTTGTTCTGTTTAATTGTTTTTGGTTTTGTATACGTAGGACCAGATAGAGCTACAAATTCAGTAGATTGTTTGTTGGCAATGCCTGAAATGAGACAAGATAATGAGTATTTCATAGAATTGATTTATTATTATTTTTATATTTAAATTTATCATTTATTTCAAATACAAAAAATTATTACCGCTGACAATTTTTGTATCGATGATTCCATACGCGTCATTTTGTTTCTGAACCATATCGCCACGAACGCCAAGTACAGACCAGTAACCAATTTCTTCTACCATGCACGCGATGCCGGCATCACAATCTGTATCATTACCAGCACGGTTGATGGCTGTTACGTTGTTTTGCCTCATTAACTTCACGATACTGTCTAAGGAAGTGGCGTTTTTGAAACCTCTTTTGAATATAACTGCTCTGGGTGACTCCGCTTCAGAAAATACGTTCCCATATAATTTTTCCATATGATGGATATGGGTGTCTTCACCGATATCCTGAAAAAATAGAATAACAGTTTTAAAAATATTTAAAGTCATATAAATATTATGTGGGTCGTTAAAAACTTACATTGAAAAATGGTAAGCCATAAGTAGCCCAGTAATCTTGTGAAAGTAATACTTCGGTGAGATCGGCGGAATGAGTACGCCCAGGGATTTGCTCAACAAGCCATGCTAGACCTTTAATATTTTGTGTGGAGCTGTTACCGTGAATAATCGTGTGTTTGACATCCCTGTAATAATAAATTATATTTGTTAAAAAATTAACTTGAAAAATATACAGTGTCTATCTACTTACACATATTTTCTGGCGATATTAAGGTATTAATTACCTGGTGATTGTGCTTTCAGTGATAATGTAGTTGTTCATGTATCTGGATAGGTTTTCTTGTAAGGTCAGTTCGTGGATTTGGTCCAGCTTATCAAAGTCTACCAACAGCCACTGTTTTGAACCAGTACCAGAGTTGCTATTTGCAATGATATGAGCCCATGAACTTACGTTGGATGCTAAATGATTGGCAGCATGAATACGTGGACCTAGTGGCACCTAAAAAATAAAATTGTTATGATGTATGATGTTCAAGGTAAATATGCAAGTAGCCCAATATATATAGATAGAGAGATATATTGATAGAGAGAGATATATATATATATATAGATTTTTAAATGAAGCTAAACATATTATAAAATATAGTAAAATATTATTAATTTTACAAATTTTTTGACTGTATTAAATATTTATGAAAAAAAAAATCGCATATATAATGTTATATCTATATTGCTGTAATAAAAATTGAATGGTTTTGCTCAAATTCATAATATTTGCACTTACTTGATGAGTTATATTAACTTCTTTCCAAAGTTTCTCGTTGTAGTTCTTCAATGGTATGCCTGATATTGCAAGTCTGTGCTTGTGTCCTTTCACCAAGTAGAACTCATCTTGGCTGGTTACAGAGCCAGGGTATCCTGAGAAATCTACAGACAACCCAGGGACTAATTCTGAAGTATTCGTGGATGTTTGGTGGTAGTTCAGCTTATAACGTTTCAGGATTCGAGTCATTGAAGTGTAACTGTAATTAGAAATTATAACTGATATAAATATATTGATATTTCGGGTCAACGGGAGACATTATGAAAATAAAAACAATACATACCTGCCTGCTCTGTTTTGAGCGAGATAGATTTTTTTAGTGGTGGTACCTTCAGAAGTTTCGTTGACAATTCTTAAATAGCTGCTGGAGAGATCAGGCAAAGAGTCGATGACGTCATCTTCTAGTGATATGTTCAGCTTATGCTGAATTTCTGCCACCTCACCGACCGAGTTCAACCAATAAAGATCGGATATATCGGTATCATATTCATTTTGGCTACGTTCTACACCATGTTTCCAGCCAGTAAAGACACCACTGATTTGAATGTAATATAGAGAGATCTGAAAATTCCAACAATAAAATGTTATTGATATCAAAATTGTGAAATAGTAGCGCACGACGGTGCATACTAAAACGTTATTACAAGATAAGTATGTTACTAACTTGATGCCACAATGGATCGATACTGCCGCGCTCAGACGCATGTGATTTCCAAATTTCCACGGATTTGTCAAGAGCGTCCCGTAGTTTGTTGCATTGCTTCTCCAGCAAAGTACCATCACATCGTTCTCTTATAGTGTTCTCTAGATGAGTATGAATAAGGGACCAGGTGAGCGCCCCTTCTACTATGCCAGCCGCGTACGCTTGAATCTCATCAGGGTATGAAGCATCCGTTTCTACTTCTAAAAGAGACCACCTGTAACAAAAAAAAAAAAATACTAAATTCGTCTATGAGGTACATATGTTAGGTTTCATTATTCTTCTTGACAAATTTATGTATTCATAATTCTACTTATTCGTAGGTAGTATGGCATTTAGAAATCTTGAATGGTAGATAAGATTTTCTCTAATCATAGTATCTTACAACTCTTACAGGACAATATACATAATGTAATTATTAAGCTCCCTAAATTGACAGGCGTTTTAATACTTACACAATTGCATTATTTATGCCGTATGCATGCTCTCCCGTTGCTATTGCTTTAAAAGCAATATATCGTATTATGTAAAGTCAATTAATGACAATGGCGAGGCATGTTTTAAAGATTTAAGTTTGCGTAAAAATAATAAGCGTCAGTTATTTTGATTCGTTAAAATGCATCTTTTATTATATCAATACCAAGTTAAATGGTGCTAGTTACAAAAAAACCTGACTTCAAATGGGTGATAGACCTTAACTCTGAGACTTAGATCTAGATCTTAATCTTAACTACTATCTAACAATGAAATCTTTATCAAAATCCGTTATGTGGTAGTTTAAAAAGTGTTTAAAGCCACAGGGATTGTCCGAGGCAGATGGTGAATTTAATTCATATTAAGTGCTTAGTGTAATAATTACCCAGTTGTTTCAACGTCCATTCTAAAATAAGCTCGTGCAGCTCCTTTAGGTATATCGGCTAGTTCATTACTTTGTCCCCAGTATTCAATGCGATATCCGGTTTTCTCTGAATAAAATACCGTTGCTGCGTAATTGCCATCTTCCTGAATTCTACAAACAATGAAACAAACTTGAAAAACATTAGAAACAAGGCCACTCTTGATGTTCAATCGCAAGTATACTATCAATAAGCAAACATGAAATTTTGGGTGTATGCCAACGTAATCTCAAATATAATGTAAGGTAAGTCTTTTGCGTCAGAGTGGTAATGATAAGATTTATGTTTTGAAATACAACTAACCTTTCAATCTGTCCGACGAAGAGAGCTAATATTGCCAGGATACCGAGTATTCCCAGAACATATGAGCTAATCTTGGTTTGGAGCCACGAGGCACCTACTACTTTAAGGATTTTACTCATTTTCAGACTTCTAATGAAAATTTATAAATAAAATATACTATAAAATAAAAAAGATGTTTAGGAATTTAATAATAATGAAGTGACAGTCCGAGTAGACGACCTTCTCGAGCAATAGTGAGAGCATCAAAAATGCTCTGCAGATGGTTCACGGTGCTAGAATTGCTGCGACTGCTCGCTGCGGAGACCACATTGGACGCTACTTTGTTAAGCTCTATATTTGTGGTGTTTCACAGCGCAATTTAAACTATACTCTTTTATACCCTGAAACAATAAAAAAAAAGAACATTTAATACGAAAACAAAATATTGCAGGCCCTAGAACTAATAGAAGAGTTTTGTTATCTTTTAAAGTTAGTTTGTTTATAGTAGCTATTATTTTAACTGGAATAATTTTCAAGAATACTGAGCATACACGCATTAATTGTCACAATTAAACTGAGTATTTATTACCGCAATCTGTAACGTTTAGATATCGTTTATGGAATTATACCCGCACCGAGCACTTTCAATGCAATCAAACTGATATAAGAACCACTTATAAGGAAAGTCACATCAAAATTACACGTGTTAATAATTTTTAATTTAAAAAAATAAGAATTAGCCAACTGAAAATTAATTAAGTCCCTAAGACGTTTGCTGGTTGACACTTCTGCACATATAAGAACAGTAGTCAGGTAAATTGTATGTTATCAAAAGTTAAATAGATATATCTATGTTTATATTGAGGTATGTATATTCTCCGCTATCTAGAAACTTGTTACAACACAAATTTGTATACAAAACAAATCACCAACCTTAGGGTTTATTCAATTTACTGAGAATTTCACTATTTATAAAAAATAAACTTTTAAAGTTCGAACCTCCTGATCCTCATATTTTGAGATAATCTTTTTATGTATGTACAATCAATGTTTTGATGCATTTATTTTTATATCGTTTGTATTTCTAACGACATTAAGTTTAATAAATAGGATTTTCATAGAAGTTATTGATGACAGCTTTGTCAGTCTCTTTAAATAGGAGTTTTTTTTATTATTTTTTATACTTTGTCATTCATTGTTTATTGGCGTCTATCTCGCTATCCTGTGTTTTTGTGTTATGTAAAAATTGTTTTTTTTTTCAATTGAAGAAACCTACATTCCACACTCCTTCTGTCAATAAAAGAAGTTAATAATTAATATTAAAAAAATAAGACTTCAATTTCAGTCTCACTAAGATTACAGTCTTTATTAGATCTTTGGAATTAGAGGATTATTAACAGGTTATGTTTCGTAAATTTACATTTTCATTATCAAATCTTATTCCATTATTTACTAAATTAATGGTCATCGGCAATATTATTTAATAATACCTAAATGTTATAATTTTCATGTTATTTGCTTGGTACTCGTAATTAACTTACGAACGCAACGACGCCGTCCTCTTAATTTTCAAATACCTACATGGTTATTTTTTGCAAATAGATAAATAAATAAAAATCTTTTTTTTATATTCATTTACTATTACTTAATAAAATACCTATATTTATCAAAAATATGGTATTTAAGTACATTAATTTGATAAACCTGTGCTATTTAAGTATAAAGATTCAGATCGTAGTTATAAGCTCGTTTTAGTATAATGTCATGCTTCAACTTCGTGGCTACATAGATCTAGTTTTCAAATTGCTATAATAATTTCTATATTAAAATGGCACAGATGTTTCTAATTTAATAATTATAAATAAAAAAGTAATTAAAATATTCGATGAGTACTGGGTACTGTTATAACTGGAAGTATATAATATTTAAATTAGTCTGATTCTCTAAATCACTAAAGTTGTACTAAAGAGTTTCACTAGTTGCTCCAGTTTAATATAATGTATTTTTACATATTGCTTATGTCGCTTAAATATATTACTATTATATTATTTAATTAATAAAATATAAGAGATTTGAAGATTATAGAAAGATTATGTTACAATTAAAGTAAGAAAAACTAAATCGGTGGTTTGGTAGATATAATGTTGAAGAATTTGTAAAATATAGTAATTAATAACTACAGTTTCATTCGGTAGTTGCTCATGTAATAAATTAACATTTAGGTCCAAAAATGTTTCAATTTGTATAGGAATAAGGAGAAACAATTTCATAAAGGCACTCTACAAAAAATATATTTTTTGGAATCGAACGGGTAAAAAAAGAGACTGATAGATATTGTTTACTGTACTCGTCAATTCAAAATTAAGCGCCAATTGGACACATATAACATTATATTAATTTCTTAACAATTGTGGAAATCAATTTTATGGTCCCAACACGTGCCGCTTTATCGTACACATTTATGCAACAATGGTTTGCTGAAATAGAACACTAGTTAGGTTACACGTGGAACTAGGAGAGTCAGTACATCTATTAATAATAGCTTACTATTTATTTAACGACTAATTAAAAATCTCTTCTACTACATTATATTTTATTCAAGTAAAAGTAGTAAACGATCTTGATGGTATATTTTTCAAATATGTGGAAGATTCGCTTTGGTAATAAAGACTCAAGTATTTTGATAACCCATATATGAACCATTTAATAAAAATTTTATTCATGATAAAATAAATATATAAACAACTTTTTGACCAAAAAAATATGTTTGTTGCTAAAGCAGATGTTACCAGAAAGATATAAACCAAGAAAAGAAAACACAGATGACTTATAAAAAATATTTTCATAATAAAATCATAGCAATAAAACTACAGGCGTGGCTTATCAATGATCGGTACCGAAATCAAGTTGACGAAGTTCAAACTTTGCCAATTGAATTTACCGCAGTAGCTAAATGAGAATTCGTGAATAATAGCGGTTCCTACGAGCAGTTTTGTTATCCTGTAATGAAATTAGCGTCTGAAGGCCTACTGTTTCTCTGAAAACAAAATTTGGTCTATTTTTCAAACGCTAATATTCACAGCCAGTAACCGTTGCTGTTAAGCAACTTTCGCAAGCATTGGTATCGGGATAGGTGGTCAAAAAATTATTATCTCTAGCTACTCTGTGCTTCGGAATGCATATTAAGCCGTTGGTCCATGCTACATTTGCAGTCGTTAATACCCTCCAATCCACATTGGGCTAACGTGGAGGGCCATGGCCTATCCTCTTTGCCACAAGGCCTTCTTTGAGGCCTGAGCCCCTGTAGTGGGGACGTAAAAGGGCTGATATTTTATATATTATTTACAATGAAATAAGAAAATAAACATGACATATACATGTAAATTGATTATTATGCAACAATATTTCAAAATTACTTAAATTAAAATATAATGATACATTTTATGTTTCAGAAGTGCAATTTACAAATTGACTTGAACACAATGCACAATGGATTATGACACGGTAATAATCATAATCGTTTTGAGCCTGTTTACATTTCATTGGCGAGTGAATGCCATCTTCTTGCAATTTGTAAAACGTTTAATGATTGAGAGATTGTAATGAAAAAATGTTACATTAAAAAACTATCCACTTTTCGGCTTTAATTTTTGTTTCTTCAACCTAGCAATCTGAGGTACAAAATAATCGATAGGCATCTCTATCTTTTTCCACTGTTTTACTGAGGATATACCTATAAGCTAAATCACTAAAATTGAGCTGTTCGTTATTCATTATACTTTTATTTATATCGGAATAAATATATTGGAAGCGGAATACAAAATCAGTAATAATAAACAGTCTTACTCGATTATTTAAAGAATAAATCATGTTAATACATTATTGCTAACGCTGTAAATTTATATTTATAGAGCATAAATTATTGCCAAAATCCAAAAAAATATTTTTCTATGGTAAAAATATTTGATGAAGACTATTGAAACTGATCTTGATGATTTAATCTAGTAATGTTAAATTAATTTATTTTAGTTTTTGATGAGATGTTTTAGAGATAATAAAAAATATATATTTTGAAATTTAGTAGTTAATTTAAAGATCAATATTTAGCGTTTCACTGCTAATAAAATTATTAAGTTTTGACCTTTTCTTTAAGTGCAAAACTTAAAAGTCAATGTTCGTATATTCGCCAAATAGATCGTATATAAAACGATCGCAATATTAATACGTTTTTAAATGTGTGGTTCATAAGGTCCACTTTGTCAAAACATTGAAAATATTCATCTTTCGACGTTTTGATGTTTATCTAACCAATAATGTCATGGTATATTTATATGAAACGAATATCTATTTCGACTTCATTTTCTGATATTTAGGTACTAACTTTCCGCCAGTTGCTTCGCACACATTGTGGCTAGGTAACCGTTTACTGAGATAAAAACTGGCCTATAAATTAATTCAAGCTTAGAATTTTTCATTTGCCATATTTCATCAAAATTCATGAAGTAGTTTTTGCTTGAAAAAGTAACATCATCCATCATCACGAGCTATCGCATTCATAATATTAGTAGGACTACATTATTCTTGTTGAGTTTGTTGAGTGAGACTTTGGAAAAATTCTTAAGCGAATATAACTGATGTTACATACGTTACAGAAACATTTTAACGTAATACCAGTAGCGCTACCATGAGTTGCTATCGAAAATTCTCATTACGTTACCGCAGTCGATAGCGAATAAACGCACTTCGAATAGTATTCGATAGAAGTTGTACCATGAGTCACATTTACATTTACTATACTCGCTAACGTTAACTCGAACATTCGAATAGTTTTTGTTACGTGACAGTGTATTGCGCCTAACTTCACTCCAAATGAAACTGTCTCGTTCTAATTATGCTGAATAGAGTGAGAAACGATGACTTTGGGCTAAAAACCGACTATTTAGATCTTCAAATTTAAAAAGTTGATAAAACCCTACTAATTTTAAGCGTCATTGATCATTCTCATAACGCGAAGTGTAACTGATTATTGAATTTATTCGGTTATTTCCGTGTTGAGACAGATCATTAAGTGTTTCTGTTTCTTGACTGGCGGTTGTTTTGGTAAATTGTGCATAATACCTAAACATTAAATGCGGACTAGTGTATGACAAATACAGTTATTGGTTATATATATGAAAAGGAATGTACTTCAATACATACTTTGTACAGTAAAATGTAGCCCTCCAGTTTTTTTTAGATTAAATATTTGTTTAAGTGTTCAGATAAAGTTAAGGAATGCTGAGTGCTCTTTATTTGATAAAGGTAAATTTAAGCGGGACTTTAATAATATAATACATTGTTTTTTGTAATTTATCAAACATAAAACTTTAAAAATAGACGCAGTTTATGAAATTTTTGAAAT